TCTTCAATTAATGCTTTTAGAGGGCTAAGTATAATAGTAATACCATTTATAAGTAAAGATCCAATTGAATAGCATAAGCTCTTTCCTTTTCCAGTTGGAAATAATACTAAAGTATCTTTGTTGTTTACAAAACTTTCTATAGCCTCCTGTTGACCCTCATGAAAGTTTTGATATTCAAAAATAATCTGGAGAGCCAAAAGAGAAGGAGATGTTGATGATTTTGAAGGAGATTTGGTAATAATGAAATTTTTATTGAAAATTTTATCATGTTTTTGTTGCAAGAAAAAGAAGTGACAAACTTTACATAACCCATTTGTATCATATTTAGGAAAAGAATGACAGTTTTGGCATTTGATCAGGGATTTAAAGTTATAAATGTATTCATGAAATGATGGAAGGAATTCATTATTATTTAATTTCTCTTGCAATCTAAGACCATATGGAATCAAATCTTGGTCAAAATTAAATCCTGACATATCATGCTTTAATTGATTTAATTGATCATGTTTTTTTGTATTTCTTACATTTATATTTTTGATATTTTCTTCTCTCTTAAAATCATGTTGCTCACAAATTTTTTCTATATTATATAGGTCTTGCATTGAAAAAGGAGCAATGTCATCTAATGAGCTGTGTAATTGGGTCCATGCTTGTTGCTCACCAAGATTGTTATGCAAAAGAGCCAGAGCATGTCTTGATGCAAATGATTTTGGATAATCGATTTTTTTATCAAGATAACATAATTTAGTACGATTCAAAGCTTCATTGTGGCAAGTATGTGTTTTTGTGATAAGTGATTGTCCTTTTGGTTTTTTTATAATATCTTGGATCATTTTTTTAAAGTGTTCTTTTTCATTTCCAGAATAATTAATTAAATTTTCACCTTGAAGTCCTAGCTCTGGATTTTTTTTTTCTCCAACAAACTTCTTCCCAACAATTATCGTGTAAGTCACATAGATGTTCAAATAAAATTTCTGTTTGCATATAATGCAATTTATCATCATCAGGAGGTAAAGGTAATGTTTTTTTCTCCTCAATAGATTTTTTGTCATAATTATCTTTTTGATTACTAGCTTCATATATACATGCAGTATAATAATCAAGGATATTTTTTTCAAAATTTTCCCATTTTTTTTATATTTACCACTATTAATCTTATTTCTTATTGTTTTGGTTTTATGTTTTAGATCAGCAAATATTTGATTTACAATATCACAGTTTGATAAAGTTCTATTACTATCTAGGTCACCATCAATGGCAATATCAAGCAGAAGACCATTTTCTCTGAAAACTGGAGTAATTTCTTCTAAAATATTTATCAAAATTTGATGTTCCATTTGACGAGATGATTGATCAAAATTACCTTCATGGGTTGTCATATTTTTTCCTTCCTTCACTATTATGTGAGATTTTTCACAGAAGGAAAATGCAATTACTGGCTTATAACGTGAAGCCTCAATATAACCATCATATATTAGCTCTCCACTAGCTTGTGGTGCATTTCAAACATGTGACCAGGAGACATCAAATGAACAAGGTATAGTTTTTTTTTCCTCTTCTTTGGCTTTTTCAATAACATTTTTCAAGGCTATTGCTGTTACTTCTTTTGCCATCTTTTTAATTGGATTATAATAGTTCCCTTGATGTTGAAAATATGCCTTTGAACAAGATTGTGAAGTAATTCCCATGAAGGCTAATCCAGTTTGCAATTCCCTTCTATTTAATCCAGCTACTAATCTGCTTACAGCAAGGGTTTTGGAATAACTCATGCCATCTGGTTCATTGGTAAAGTCTTCTGTATATTGACATTGTTCACAAAAAATTGTTATCTTTTTGAACTCAGATTATGGCATCCACATTGCTTACAGGGGAATGATAATATTAATTTCAAATAATTCTCAGAAGACATAAAAATTGTTGAACCCAAATTATTCTCTTCAATGATTTTATTAACAGCATTCACCAACTCTTTATTTTCAGCATTATCAAGATAAGGACTATTTTTTGTATTTTCTTCAATCTCTTTCAATTTTGAACATGCATCTTCCAACTTATCTTTTATTTTTTTTATTTGTCGATTTGCTTGGTATTTTTCAATTATATGTGAATTGTTGGATACCATAAGTGCTTGAATGCTTTTAGGTGACATATTTACACCATCAGGTTGAACACGAATTCCCTTTTGAATTACTTCTTCTTCTGCAGTATCACTAATCTCCTTTCCTTTACATTTCATTGCTTTTATTGTTCACTCATTAGTTTTCATAGCTGTAGACATCTTGGGATTTGTTTCCTCTTCTTGAACAGATGGAAATTTTTCAAGCACTTGGTCACATAAATAGGTAATATTTTCAATATTGTCAAATCCTAATAATGATGGTATAGATATTTTTCCTGAAACTCCTAATTCATCTTTGAAATTGTTAAACATATGATCATAATGTTTTATTTCCTTTGAACTGGTGAATGTATAGTCATTTTCAAAATTCTCAAATGTATACTGTAATTCTCCATCATTTTTTATATCAATAGATAGTCTAATATACTTGTTCTTTTTTGTTAGAATTGAATTAATGGAATCCATGCTGTGTTTTCATCTTCTAAATCAGATTCCATGCCTATAGGTCTTTTATCCACAAGATATATGAGCTATATAAATCTTTATATGCTTCCATGGTGTTCAGTTGATATGAATCATCATGAACAAAAATATTTCAATCTTTTCAATAAAATAATTTATAATTAATATTATTTTCTGTTAATGATTTATACCAATTTTTCATTTTCAAATGCT